GACACAGAGAATCATGCTGTGGACGCTCAGCCAGTGGTGGCATCCAGAGTTGTGGAAAATCGCGAAGTGATTTCCAAGAAGTGGATATTCGTAATTATTTGTCAAGAAAAAAAATCCAAAATGACAGTTTATGAAAGGTGTGGCTTTCTAATGTGATTGAACACTCGTGTCCTTGATTGTTCTTGTGTTGTGTCCTCCTGCGGTTGTTGTGTGCCATCGTGGTGCTAAGTGCATTCCTAGTGCTGCCCAGCCATCACCGGCAGCCCCCTCACGACCTGCTCTCCTGTGTGAACCGGCATCTGCCACCCAGCATTCACTCCCCTCGCCATGGTTTGACACTAACTACTTTAAGCAGAACCACAGTCTTTGTCTTTTGCAGCTGGTTTATTTCACTCAGTGTAATGTTCTGTACATTCGCCCATGTATGGGAATCCATTTTACGTTTACATCACAGTTTTCCTAGTGTAATAATAAGGAAGTGTCACTCCTCCAGCTTTGTTCTTCTTTGAGATTGTTCTGTCTATTCGAGGTGACTGAGATTCCACATGAATTTTAATTTGAGCTTTCTATTTCTGCTCTATCCAGTTTTGGTAATGTTTTACATGCACTCACAAAGCAGGGCACCTGGTCTGTTCTAGAAATGGGCAGTATCATATCAGGTAGCTCCAGTGTCAGTCAAAGCCTGGTCTTCTTACCACAAGTGTGCTCTAGCCTGTGGTAGAAAATATTTTTATAACCGAAAAAGATAATGTATTCTCAGTAGAAGAAGTGACCTCGTGTACTTGTGACTGCTTTATCCGTTTGGAAATCATTTCGTCTAAGAAAGATAAATGATTTAAAATCCCAGAGGCTTAAAAATACCGAATTGTATTACTTTTTATCACACTGTAAGATGTCTGAAGATCTTGGCTTGCTTAACTTTACTGCTAAGTGACGCTGCAGAAAACCAGACTTTCTGTCTTTTTGCTCTGCCACCCCTGGCCTCCTGGCCTCCTGGCCTCCTGCTGGTTTCTTACTCTCAGGTCAGGTGGACTTTCCCAGGTCACTCTTCCCTCTGTTGATCTCCAGTCTTTGTTCCCTTCCCTCTGGGGCTGAGCACCACTTGTCTTTTTCCTGTGTCGGAAGCCCTCAGCTTCTGATACTTGCTCCCTGCCTTTTATCCTTACCAGGGGTCCTTGCCACCTGCCCCTAACACTGGCTATGTCACTTTCCAGTGCTGACCCCTGTGGCCACGACTCCGCCTAGAAGATGGTAGCTGCTCTGGTTTGAATGTCCCCTTCAGAATTCATTCTGAGATGCAATGGCCATTGCAACAGCCTTAAGAGAAGGGGACACAGGGCAGGAGGACACCCCACTGATGAACGTGTTAAGGTCTTGATTGCCTCCCTGGCTCTCTGGCTTCCAGCTGGATTTAGCCACTGGAGATGAAGACAAAAGATGGGAGGGTGGGGAAGGAAAAACCTGATGTGTTTGCTCCTCTGGCTTCATCCCTGCTGCCCCGTGGTTTAACAGTGCTTGAGAGGGAGGCTCTCCTCCAGTACAGCCCTGCCTGGGTCTGGCAGTTCCCTCCCTGCCCCTCTGGAAGTGGTGACCTCCCCCTCTTTTGCTGCCCCTGAGTGTCTTGCCCTGCCCTGGTTCCCCTCAGCCCTGACTTTGTGAACAGTCCCTTCCTGGATGCTCTGATTGTCTGGGTGGGCCACCTGCCACCTGTTTCACATTAACAAGGGGCTGAGACACACCCTTAATAAAGGAGGTAAAGTTACAATGTTGTCAAACTGGGCCACATTTCTAATTTTCCCACATGTAAAATGATAGTAGACATTTGGGAGGTGGGTCCACACCTCTCTGAAGTGTTCACAGGGCCTAGTATGAATAGCGGAGGTAAGAGTTAAAGGACTTGAATCTTTGATGTCCAGCTCCTGTGGAAATGGTGCCAGCCATTCGGTCTTTTCTACTTGGATACACTCACACAGTAAGAATTGCTGCAGCAGTCACGTGAGAGAGTGTTCTGTATTCATCCCCATACCTCCACCCGACACCTGTTTAAAGGTACTTCTGTGTTCCATGTGGCCCAGCTGGGTGTCGCTGCTTCTGTCCCAGTGAGACATCAGGTCCGCAGCCAGGTGGCTTTCTAGAGCGTGTGGAGTGGGATTGGGGTGGACGTGGGTCTACTTATTCCTCCGTATAATCCATTTGAGATCCTGCATGCTGTGCAACCCCTTTTGCCTTCCTTTTGTAAAGCTGTGTGATTTCTCCCATCTGATTTGTGAGAAGAGGTTTAAACTTCCCTGCGCATGGTGGAAGCTCCTCCTTCTGTCAGCTCTGCACGCCTGCCGCAGGTCTTCTGCTCCTTATTTGTTCCTCCTGGGGTAATGCATGGGGAGGGGGAGGCAGGGGGAGAAGACTGGGGGAGAGAGAGGTAGCTCCTGTGCAGTTCATCTCTTTCATCTTGGCGCTGCCTCCAATGTCTGGACTCCTGTGGCTCATCTCCACCAGTGTCCTGGACCACAGCCACCATCTTCACTCAGTGGAACTGCTCTGGTGTTCTCCTGAGTGAGCTCTGGGCGTCTGCCCTGCCCTCCTCCAGTTCCAGGGATCATTCTCCACCTTGGGGGACAGCAGATCCTCCCTGAGATGTGTACATGTCACTTGGGAAGGGGCTCCCATGTCCTGACCTCCAAACCTGGGACAGCAGTCCCACTGCTGCCTTGGCACCAGCCGTCTCTCCAAGCCCTCCGCGTTTCCTGTTTTACCTCGTCCCCTCATGTCAGCCACAGGGTTTTCTCTGTGTTCCTCGAAGGCCCCAGGCTTGTTTCCACCTGAGGACCTCACTCATGTTGCTCCCTGCTGCAGCTCGCGGGGATCACCACAAGGTTTCTCCTCCTCCCATTTATTTACGTGGCACTGGCTGCTGCGTGAAACTCTGTCTGCTTATTGTCTCCAGTTTCCTGCTAGAATATTAGTTCTGCAGGAGCCAGACCTGTTCTGTTCATGGCTGCAAGTGTCCGATACGTGTGTTTGGAATATATGAATAAAGTGAGACCCTCCAGGATCACTGTACTGAAATGGCTTGTGTCACAGGCAGCCTGTTGGGCTCCTGCTTCATTGTTTTTATTTACCGGGTAAAGATCAGGGCAGGGATATGTTATGATAAACTCAGTCCCTTTCACAATTGGTCATTAAAATGCATCAAGAATTAAATCTCTACACCAGTTAGGTCTGTATTCCATTCCTGGACAGAATTAAAAGCAATCCCAATTCATGTCAATATTTCTTGGCAACCATGACTGTGTGATTTGTAATTCAGAATTAAAAATAAAAGTAACTCTACTTACTAAATGCATTTAATGCCAGATTTCTAATCTGTTTAATGTTGTGGTTAACAGTGTGAAAGCTAACTGGTAAATTGTTTCATCTAACTGATTTTGATGGGGCAGTTTAAAGGATAGCATTTCATAACCTGTCCAATACTTGCAATAGCAACTGTACATGTGGAATCATTTTCCGTGAAAACGTTCTTTTCATATGTTGTGCAGTATCCGGTTGGATTAGCATTCCTTTTGTTTGACAGATTTAGTAAATAAGAACTCATTCATAAGATAAAGTTTATTAGAATATTAACCAAAAGAAATAAATATTAATTTTTGGATGAATATAGGTGAAATGAGATTGGATTATTCTAGTCACATGAAATAATTATTTGTAAACAAAATAATAGATTTATCACATTCTGTTTCTGTTTAAATGAATCTACCTTTATGAAGACGGGTCATATACCATTCCTACAGAAACCCAAATCCAAGAATATGCTTAGAAAATTCCTCAGTAAGAAAATCTTGCAGTTCCCGGATCACTTTAAGAGATTTGGTTCTTCATGTGTCATCTGGGCAGGTTGACAGGAAGAGTATAGACAATTCTAATCAGTATTTTGAGAGTTAATGTAGTCTAATGTGTTAGAGACTTGCTACCCTTTTTGAAATGTAACTCACCAAAAGTAAGGCTGTAAAAAGAAAAACACGGCTCACTAGGCTAATGCTCCACCTTCGGCACCAGCACCCTGGGTTCTAGTCCCAGTTGGGGCACCAGATTCTGTCCCGGTTGCTCATCTTCCAGGCCAGCTCTCTGCTGTGGCCTGGGAAGGCAGTGGAGGATGGCCCAAGTGCTTGGGCCCTGCACCCACATGGAAGACCAGGAGGAAGCACCTGGCTCCTAGCTTCAGATCGGCACAGCGCCGGCTGTAGCGGCCATTTTGGGGGGTGAAACTAACGGAAGAAAGACCTTTCTCTCTCTCTCTCTCTCTCTCTCACTGTCTAACTCTAACTATCAAAAAAAAAAAAAAAAAAGGAAAAACGAGTTTATAAACGGCCTAAAGGAAAGTAGCCGATGGAGAAGAGATGACTTTGGTAACTTTTGGATAATGGTTCCTGGAAAGAAGCAGGGTCCCTCTGAAGTCCAGGAGCCTTAGCTGTTGGGAGCCCATCCAGGTCAGAGGTGCTACTGAAAACCAGGCCGGGCTGCTCAACCTCAGGGCACAGGAGGAGGTGCCAGGCCTCGGTGTGCTCGGGCTGCGGGCAGTCCTGGAGCACTGAGCTGAACAGACTCCCAGCACCTCCCGCTTCCCTCCCCACAAGGGCAGGATTGGTATAGACTTCCTCTCAGAGTTCTTCCCATGAAAATCTAAACGTGGCTGACGGCCGTCAGCGTGGCACAGGGGTTTTGATGAGAGCGGAGCCACGAGCCACCCTGGATTTGGTCTCAGCTGTGGTGCTGAGGCAGCAGGAACAGGTGATTCACCCCCATGGAACTGCTGATAGATGAACGCACTGTTGGTTAGTTCCATTTCCCTGTCCTGCTGTTACTTGTGCCTGGCCTTTTGTGCCCTCTCCTCCCCCGATTGAGTAACTCAGGCTTAAACCTTACTCCTGAAAACAGAGTCTTTCTAGAGCTGATTGTGAATGTGCCCATGCTGTGCTGACCAATCTTACGTCATTGTCTTCCAGAGACCGGGTAATTGGTTTGATGATGACTGCCTGCGACCTTTGTTCTGTGACAAAACTGTGGCCGGTTACAAAGTTGACAGCAAATGATATATATGCAGAATTCTGGGCTGAGGTAAGTCTCTGATTCTTAGTTAACATAGTTAATATCAAGAAACAGGAAGTATTTGAAGAGACGCTGAATATATGGGCAGTTTACTAAAGTCTGCTAGTTGCCAGTGTTGTAGCTATTTCAGAAAGGGTGAAGGATTTAGCAGGTACTCAGATCCAAAGTGATCTCAGTTACTCTGCGCTGTGTGCGTGGTCAGTTTCCTGGTCTCAGCTGCAGCACTCCGGGACCTTATCTGCAGAACAGCAGTGCAACAGTGCCGGTGGTTTGTCCGCTCAGTCCCTAACCACTCCAGGACATCCGCCTTAGGGAGGCAGCAGACAAAGCCTGCAGAGGAACTCAGGATAGATCGTGGGCCGTGGCTGCGGAAGTAGGCACTTTGGAGAAGCTTCCTTTTGGACCATGGGCGGAGGGAATATGCAAATACACACACAGGTCAGTGCACCTGGAAGCTGAGTTCTGTGTGTCTCCTGACACAAGCGTGTGAGGGGCTGCGTCGTCTAACGTGTCAGTAATGAGCGAGCGTTCACTCCTCAGCCTGCTTCCTGAATTGTGTGGGAGAAACAGAACACATTTCTCCTTTCAGATGAGCCACACCTCGGTCCCTTCACCTGCAAGTATTACCGGGGGGGGGGGGGGGGGGGCACTAGGAATCCCTTGGGAACCACCTCTAGCCAAAGAAATGAAAGTAAGTTTGAAAGGAAAAGAGTTATGTGGTTGGTGACTCAGCCACACACCCACTCGTCCAGAGGAGCAGGTGTGAGACAGAGACCCAAGAATCGTTCCGCCACGGGGTAGCAGGCCTGCTCTGTTAGGTTTGGTCGTTTCATGCCGGTGGACCCAAGTCTTGCCGCATGAGGACCGCAGGCCCGAGTTGACTGTGTCTGTGCTGCTGCTTCTCCAGAATGCCTCTGCATTATGCCTGCCTTAGTAAGATATGTTTTCTTTATTGTGTGTTATTAGAACCTAATTCCTACCAGGCTCAATTAGGAAGACTGTTTCGGATGTACATGCATTAACTGTAATATTTGATTTCATTATTGAATTCAGCTGAATTTGCATGTTTGTAACCTAGAATACATTCTGTAAATATCACATAGGAAAAGTGGCCTGAAGCTAGCTATTGTATTATACATAGTTTTACCTAACAACGATACATTTTTAAAAAAAATTTTAAAGATTTATTTTATTTGTTTGAAAGACAGAGTTACAGAGGGAGGTAGAGACAGAGAGGTCTTCCATCTGCTGGTTCATTCCCCAGATGGCCACGGTGGCCGGAGCTCCCACATGAATGCAGGGGCCCAGGGAGTTGGGCCATCCTCTATTGCTTTCCCAGGCCATAGCAGAGAGCTGGATCAGAAGTGGAGCAGCCAGGACTAGAACCAGTGCGCATATAGGATGCAGGTGCTTCAGGCCAGGGCTTTAACCCACTGCACCACAATGCCAGCCCCCATTTTAAAAAAATTTTGACAACTCTATTTGTATTATAAGTGTTGATTGACATACAACAGAGGGACAGGCGTTGGCCTAGTGGTTAAGATGCAAGGGAAGAATTCTGCACCCACACCAGATTTCCTGGCTTTGATTCCCAACTTCAGCTTCATGTGTCAGGTCTGTGCTAATGCAGACCCCAAGAGGCAGCAGCTGGTGGGATTCCTGCCACCCACATGGAAGACCTAGACTGAGTTCCTGGCTACTGGCTTCAGCCCCAGCCATTGCAGGCATTTAGGGAACAAGCAAGTAGATGGGATCTCTCTCTTTCTCTTTCCCTCCCCTTCTCTCCCCTCCTCTCCCCCCTCCACTTCTTCCCTCCCTCCCCTTCCCTCTTTTCTCCTCCTTTCTCCCTCCCTTTCTCCCTCTCTCTCTTTTTCTCTCCTTCCTTTTCTCTTTCTTTCCTTCTGTCCCTCCCTCCATCTCTCTCTCTCCTTCTCTGCCTGTGAACGTGAAAAGTGGCAGACAAGTAATGTAGACCCCCTCCCCCCGTTGTAGTCCTCCTGATCATTCAGTCCACGGGTGTGGTTAAGGGCCCATGCCGCTCACAAGCACAGTCTTCAGGACCTGGCCACCCTGGAGGCAGGGAGGTGACTGAAGTCCCGCCCGTCATCTAAATATCCACAAAGCACCATGAGCTCTCGGCTGCACCGTCACTCCCTCCCTCAGACCACCACCGAGTCCTGCCTGCATCCGGCAGCTTGCTGCCTGGACTCTTCTCTCCCTTTGGAATCAGCATGGTGGTGGCTGAGTGCGTGGTCTTCAGTGTTGCTTAGACTGCAGTCCTGCTAGGGGGTGGGGCACTGCCTGTGCAGTCTCGGGCCAGGTTTCAGACTCTTCCCTGTGCCCCAGTTAACACATGGAATGAAATTAACAAATGACGTTAGCAAACCGATGAAAAGATACACTTATTTGGGGGCAAACACGTTTTGAAATCCATGTGCAGTTTTTTCATAACTTTGACCAGACCGCTCTTCAATTCTGATTGCATCAACATCAGCTTCAACCCACTTCACTCTGCTAAAGACCAAGAACATGACCTGGGTGCCCAGAGCCCCACCTACCAGGCCCCTGCCCATTGCCTGTCTGGACATAGCCCTGTCTCGGCCACTGCTTGTCTTGACCCGGCCTCTCTAATTGCTGTTCTGGCCATTTTTCCTGACTGTGCCCAGAGCACTCTCCAGCCCTCTCCCTGTCCCTGCTGTGTATGCGGTCACTTGTGCTCTGTATTTTCCAGTTTCACGTTGATCCTTATTGTAAGTTTGTATCCAAGTCACTGTTCACTTAAAAACCATGTTCCTTATCCAACCTGTAGCTTCCTTGATGCTGAGGGACTTTATATGTTTCATTCCCTTAGGATGGAAAAGAAAAAAGGATTGAGACCACTGATGTCAATCAGTAATAAGAAGGCAGCAGTCCGAGCGCCTCCCTTGCTAGGACGGGTGTGCTGGTCCTTTACATACAGAGTTTTAGTGTGGATTATAACAGTTTGTTTCTAGACCCCATTTTAGCACATCCAGGGAGTTTTTAGTCTACACCTGTATTTTCTGGAAACAAGGACATTAAAAATTGAAGAAATAACAAGTATGAGGGAAGAGTAGGGAGTTAGGAGAAACCACAACATGTTCAGAAAGATGATTTTTAACAAGATTTAGAAAATAAATAAAAAGCACGATAATCTGGAAGCCCTGTAGGGTGGGGATGATGTGTGCTCCTCGAAGGTGTAGTGAGTACTGGATGAAACACTGCCGGCCAGTGCTCAGCCCAGCGCCTGCAGCGTGCAAATCCTTGTGAGGATGATCTGTGGCAGCATGCGTGACGATGACATGTACACTGCACCTCACCATGCGTCCTGGCTGACCGCCACCCATTCCTCCCCCAGCAGTGTCCCTCTGCCAAGCCTCTCTGCTTCTGTCCAGAGCAAAACCCTTGGCAGATCCGCGGGGAAGGCCCTGAGGCCCCTCCACGTCGGGTGGTGCTCGTCCCTCCTCCCCATCCCTGCATCTCTTCTGCTTCCAGCGTTTACTGCCGTGTGCACAGTGAAACCAGAGGAGGTGGCTGGGAGCCTGGTGGGTCAGTACCAGGAAAACACACCAGGCAGCAATGCATCAAGGCTTTCATCTTCTTACCACGTTCCAACAGCCGATAACCAGAAACATTGTTTGTCTTGAAGTGAATTAGCAGATAGAGGGTACAACTCACCAGTACTACAATTCTGTAATGATTTGAGAATTGAAGAGCTGTGATTTCCCTCCCTCTTCTTTATCTTAGGGTGATGAAATGAAGAAGCTGGGAATACAACCCATTCCTATGATGGACAGAGACAAGCGGGACGAAGTCCCTCAAGGCCAGGTACGAAACACAGTCACATTGTTCTTGGTGACGTCAGAGAGGGCTGACTGGCCACACGATCGTGCATGAAAAGGAAGCATACCCCTTCTTGTGATGTTTGGGTGTGGGCAGTGGGTCTTTTCAGGCCTCGCGTTTACTGCAGAATTGTGGCGATTGGTCTTGGAGCGTCAGAGAAGTGGAGTAAGGGCAGCCCCGCACTGGGGATGCGGTCCACTGAAGTGAGCTTCCACAGGCATGCGTGCTCCTAGGTGTCCAGTCTCTACTGGGACCTGGACTCTGAACGAGTGTGATTTGTCCCCAAGGCTGCCAGCCAAAGTAGGAGATCCTGAAGTGGAGGGACTCTGTGCTCGGCGTCAGGACCTGCAACCAGTCAGACCCTCTCCATGTAGATGCTGCTCAGGGAGTAGAGAGGGTTGGACTGAGAATTCACAGCTGCCTTCGTCATCCCTTTCAACAGACACAATTACAATGGACAGGCTTTCATTTCTGACGTGAAATAGATGGGAGAGATGAATAGACGTTAGTGTTTTCAACAGGCGGTAAATATTTTGTCATTAGCTGTATGCTGCAGATGTTGATTTAGGCCCAGCTTGCTGTAATGGATAATGCTGAGTATTTTAGTTACCTTGCTGAGTCTTATCACAGCATTGATGGCTTTCCAGGACCTGCTACACGGTGCTGTAATGCTTTGAGAGCCCTTGTACCTGGTGAGCTTTGCGCGGGTTTGCGTGCTGTGTCAGGGTCTTCCTGAACTACCGACCTCCCAGTGGTGTAAGGGTGTGGTCAGTTATGAGCGGGTGATTATGATACAGAATCGGTTTAGAAAATCTTTCCGAAAATCCATAGGATAATGGATTTAGGTAAGTTCTTAAAATTTCCTACTTTATTTAAAGTCAGTTTATATGAAAGTCTGGACAAGTGCCCGGTCGCTGCAGGGCAGCAGCACAGGGAAGAAGCTGAGCGCTGTGCTCACGGTGTTTGCCTCTGATGAGCAATCTGTCTGCAGCCTTAGCTCGCTCTGTGCAGGATGCTCACTCTTCCTTCTGTGTTTGACAGCGCAGCTGGCACAGCCACCCCCACACGTACTGCACTTTTATTTTACAGTTTGATTGTGAGCTTCCTCACACGTGTGGCCGCAGCTCTTTGTCTTTCCTGCCCAGTTCCTGCTTTTCCATCTCCATCACATTTGAAAGTCCTTTCCCACCTTAACATCCCATAAACACCAGCCTGTTTTCTTAAGTTATTTTTTGTTTCATTCTGTTTTGTTGGTTAGTTGATCTGGAATTTATCTTGTTATGTAGTTCAATGATGGGGACCTAACAGTTTTTTTCTTTTCAAATATTTAAACAGTCAGCTCAATGGAACATAGAGGACAGCTGACAATTTCTCATTGATACATTGGGGTTTGGCTCCTAGTCTAGGGATTTTAATAATAAAATAGGGTTTTTTTATACTAGTTTGGTTTTTGCAAAATTCCAAGTCCATTTACAGATAAGATAATTTTAAATTAAATATTTATGTGGTCAACTAATATTTTACCTACCACATCGCTTCTAGATTGTTGATTACTGTGAAATTGTTCTTCACCTTAACAGTGACATCTCTACCATGCAGTGATTTTCTTGTTCTTAGAATCTTACGCCCCTGGCGTCTGCTAATGTCACAATAAGAAAGCCTGTGGGGGGCCAGGAAGTTAAAGGTGTGGATGTAGAGACACCACCCTAGCAGGATCATCGTGACCATGGCCTTGGCGGCAGGAGAGGCAGCTCTGATCCTCCTCTCTCCTTTGACGCATCTCATTGAAGTTCAGTTCTGTAAAGCAGTTGGACAGCCGAGGTCTGGGGTCTCCTCATGGAGGACCGCTGTTTTGTTTTGTACATATTAGGAACAGCTAGGCAGTCAATTACAGCTGGCCGGACCGTGTGCTCTCACCAACAGTTGGTTACATCTGCTCCTCATAGGCCCGTCTCAGGGGGCATCATGTATGTGCACAGTGACTCAGAATTCCTGATAAAACGTCCTGTCACCGATCTTTAAAGTGCTGTAGACTGTTAAACTGTGAAATCTAATATACTGAGAAAACAATAACCCAAGAGAACCGTGACCTTTGCTGTAGTTCCAAACCCAAGGAATGAGTGGAAACCAAAGTAGGTGGGGGGTCGAGTGTCACACAGAAATCCCCACGTTCTTCCTGAGCGTCAGCTCGGAGGAGGCAGGCGTGTGAGCGAGAGCAGGTTTGAGTTGACCATGTCCGGGAGAGCGCTAAATCTGACCGAGACAGCAGCATGACTGGGATTACGACAGGACCGATCTGTGAGTAGCATCTGTGTAATGCATTGGGTTTGAAATTTCAGTGAGTATGAACTTTGTAATATGCCCAGGCTTTGTATGTGTTTTATTTCTAGGATATATTTTAATCCACTTTAAAATGTTCTACTGTAGCAATCACCTTCCCAAACAAACTAAGGCATCTAATTTTATAGTTAGACCTCAGACAGAAAATTCACTTAGGATACCCAGGTGCCTCTGTGACCACTAACGTTCGGTGTTGTTTCTCATCCTGGTTTCTGTGTGGAGGCAGCTTGGATTCTACAATGCTGTAGCCATTCCCTGTTACACCACCCTCACCCAAATCCTGCCTCCCACCGAGCCTCTGCTTAAGGCATGCAGGTACGTACCAGACACCACGCTGTCATGTTACCAAAAAAAAAAAAAAAAAAAAAAAAAAAAGCAACAGCTTTGCTCTTCATCCTGACCGAGGCTGTGTGTGTTTTATCTGCCGTTTACAATGGATGTCCGAATCCTATGGGCCGTGTGTTTGCCTAAGTATTGAGTTGTGCTGTTCATGGGCTGTGGGAGGTCCTAGCTGAGTGACTTCCCCAAGGGCAGCTTCTCTCCTGGGTCTGACTGATATCAAAGAGGGATCTTGGGCACTGACTCTCACTTTGTTCTCGCCCTGTCTTCACAACAGCACAGAGAGAACAGGTGGCAGCATGGGCCTGACACTGCAGGGGGTCAGCTGTCCAGCTGACCAGAGGGTGTCTATCCAGAGACCACTCAGGGTTGGGGGATCCTTTCCCCTTTCTTGTATCTGCCTGCATGCATTTTGTCCTAAGGTTTGTGACCATCACATCTCTGCCATGAGGCCTTATCTCCTGGGCCAGGCTGCGTCCCACTGCCCGTGACCCAGAGCTGGCCACCAAGGCAGAGCGGCCATGGCCTTCAGGAATCACGCAGCCTTGGCATCCTTGCAGCTCACTGCTCGCGTACATGTGAGCAGCATTTACTCTTCAAGTCAATCACGCACCACAAGGGAACAAGAAGACTGGTTTGGTTTTTGTCACAAAGATCCCTACTCCATACTCTTTATAAAAAGACAGGGTAGTTAGATCTCGTAGGGGAGCTTGTTAGGACAGGACCTCAGCTTCAATCGCAGTTTGTTGTCTAAATGGAAGAGGGGGAAACTTTAATTAAAAGTAACGTTGCTACCTTCTTCCAAAAAAGAAACTGAAGCCGTTCTGTTACCTGTCTGGCTTCGGTTTCCCCGTCCTCTCCTCGTCTGGTTGGAAGGCTGACCCCAGGAATACTGGGACTTCACAGAGATCCTGTCGTATTTGTAGGAGTTCCCCTCGGGGAAGGCGTTCTCTAGCAGAGCGCGTGCAGGAAGGATCTTCTTGCCCTTGGCCGGCTCTGCCACAGCAGAAATCCAAGCTCTGTGCTCGCTTTCTCTGCTGTCGAACTGACTTCACGCGTCTTCCTTAAGGAAGCAAAACAGACCAACCCAGCCAGCCCTGGGCGGGAGAGCGAGAGCGCCTGCCCGGCCGTCGGCAGGGCTGCTGTGCTGGGTTGTGCCAGGACAGCTTGGCCCAGGGCTCCTGTCTGCAGCCTCACCTGTCACTGCGTCTTCCATCCCTAGGGATAACCTCAGTCAGTGGGAGAAGGTGATCCGAGGAGAGGAGACGGCGCTGTGGATCTCATCACCAGCCACGGCCCCCGACCCCTGTCCTGGGAAGACGGAGGACTGATTGCGGCCCAGGGCCTCGTCCGCCTGGAGTTCCATCGCTTCTTTGACTTTCTTTCCTTTTGTTTTTGTTGGGGGGAGGGAGGGGGAACCTACACCTGGTACGTGGGGTGCAAAGCTCTTCAAGATGGTAACATCAGGCACACGCGTCAGGCAGCTGACTTGCTGCCAGCCTCAGCGGAAGGCATCGCAGACAGAACACCCAGCGGCCCCCGGACTCTGAGGTCAGCTGGCCCCGTGGATCCAGGGACTCTGCACAGTGGCCTTTGCCAACAGGCCCACGTCACTGAGGCCATCACGGAAATGGACACAACGATCCCTAAGGGTACTTCTCATGGTTTCTTCCGAGTGGGGGTTAGAATGGTACTGTCATGGCTGTGTTCTGTGGCCTTCATGGTGGGGTTTGTTGTTGGCCACCTGTGGTGGTGAGTCGGAGCCTGCAGTCCAGGACAGGCGTCCCTGAAGCCACAGAGCAAGCAGGGATGGGAAAAAGCCTTGTTTCAAAGCCCGGGGAATTCAGGCAGGCAGACAGGAGTTGTTTGAGTTTGTACCAAAGGGCTTAGACGCATCAATGTCACCATAAGCAAAGTAGACTTCTACCCTTTTGAGAAGAGAAGCAGGTGTACATCACGGCAACTCTCAGCACTTCAAGTGTCAATCCAGAAACTGTCCGAGAACTTTTTTTCGTTGTTTTTTTCTTCACTGTAGTCTTCGCAAATTGACTGAAACTTTTGCATAAAGAACAAAATAAAAGCAAGGCATATACTTTTTTTAACCATTAAGTCTTATGGATGTGAAATGTGAATTTTTAATAATGATTCCTTTATATTTTTACTTTGTGTCACTGCAGAAATTTAGACTCATTCAAAAATGAAAGGTTAAATCTAACCATTATTCAATTAAAAGACCATATATTTCCCTCAAAATCACTTGAGACCATAAAGTTCAGTCTCCTGTAAGTTCGTCTGGCTGTGCTGTGTTTGTGGCGGCTGCTCCGACCTCAGGGCAGGAGGGAGCAGCAGTGCAGTCCTGTTGCCCCGGGTTTCTGCCCTCTTCACTCTGCCGCAGAGCAGACACCACATAGAGCTCGGGGGTCTGGCTGGTGCTCCTGTGTAACTTGGAGGTCGGCTGATATGACTGTGCACTGTAAATGTTGTGAAAAGGCATAAAACCGATACTCCGGACCCCTGCCTACAAAGATGATTGGGCAGTCACTTCCAGTGCGTGTTAGTATGTCACAGGTGCTTGGTACGATGGTGCAGTAACTTCTAACTGGTTACTTCCAACCTGAAGAACTTAGAATCTCAAGAAGTGACAAGACAGTCCTTGACAGACAGCCCATCACAATGCACATGGCTGGAAACTGATAAAGTTAACTTTTACAGTTTGCTTCTACATATTCAGTGTTGTACAGAGTGATACTCATGAACTTGGCTTTACAAAACTAAATTGGAGGCTTCTGCAGCAATTTATTTATGTTGCAGCAGAGTTGGCTGTCCATCAGTATTGTTCTTATTTTAAAGTTAACACTGTGTGTTCAGTTTCATTATGGGCTTCTGAACGTTGCCATTTCCCTAGATGAAGCTCCATTTGCTATTGGAACTGCAGGCTATGAGGTAGAATGCATTACAAAAGAGAGGTATACCACTGTGGCTGGACACACACACACACACACACACACACACGTATGTATGTAATGTGTGTAGAAACACATAGATGTATATTTGATACACACGTATGTATGTACATAGACATACACGTGCATGTACATATATGAGATATACACCCATATGTGTGGGAGACTGGCAGAGACACACAGAGGCATAGGGAAGCAAACATATATGAAAAGTGAGAATCAGCCCTGTTCTTCAAAGTCTCTGCATTAGGAAACATCTGTTGCCTGATAAGGAGTTGATTACAAAGCGGGATTTTTGTATGCATTGTCATATAGCAGCGTATTTTTTTTCTGCACATAAATTTGTGAAACTGGATCCCCACGAATATAAAGTGAATCCCATACTTTAATCCAGTCATCTAATTTAACTTAGAGGCTGAATTGCAGGAGAAGGAATAGCATTTAAGATTTTTTCTTTAATCAGCTGCAGGAATTCTCCTTTGTGCAGAACAGTCAGAGAAGTAGGACTCTCTTGGCCATGCTTGCCTTTTAAAACTGCTGTTCTGATGAGACGATTACAAAAAAGCTGTCTCAGTCTGATGTGGTCAGACACGCCAAGTGACCTGACCTCTGCTTTGCACCTGCGTGGACTCATTAGTGAAACTCTGTCACGACAGGAACACATTCCAGTGAAAACTGTTAACGTGGCTTTCCCCATGTGCTGGATTTACTAAAAACGGTCCAGGGTGTAGTGGTATTTAATTAATAATTTGTGGGGAAAAGTGCAGCATTTTTGGTAGATATAGTTAGAATGCACACTTTAGAGTCCTATTTCTTGTCTTTTTCCCAGATCCTGGAAGGAGGGTGTTTGGTTTGGTTTTGTTTTGTTTTGACTACTGGAAGTTTTGATGAGCTTCTCATTAGGGTGATATATTTCACATTGAGCCACATCTTCTGTGTCCAGTTTAAATTTGGTAACCCACTGTGACTGTAGAATGTTCACTTTGCAGAAATTTATATGGTGCACACTGATGTATAATAGGCAAGTTTTATGGTTCCATGCAATTATCGCATTATCTTTTCAGAGTTCGTGAATATATTTTAAAGTTAGAAATGTTCTTGGAAATATAAATGTATGCCAACAATGATGAGAAACATTGAATTCAAGCAGTGGAAGAAAATCTGTAAAAAAAAAAACGGAAGCATCTTATTAATGAGTAGTAGAGTAGCAGACTCGACAAGTTCATTCTAAAAACTTGAAAGGAAACACAGTGGATGTGGACACCAGTGGTCCAAAGTGTTCCGTTGAGTCGGGCAGGGACTGTGAGCTGTTGCATGAGACACCACTGCCGGACAAGAGCCCAGGCTGAAATCCAGCCCCGTCGCCCTCCTCCCGATGCCCGGGGGGAGCGGATCTGTGCAGGAGTTAGAGCGCTGCTCCCCCACCCCACTTCCACAGCAACAGAAGCAGAGGTAGATTTGCCCAGTGTGGGTCTCTTCTTTTTAGCATGCTTCCTGAAGTTTTCATTGTGGACAGTCCCAGTGAATTTTGCTTTACTGATGTGTTCATATTCACTAGATACGTTTGTACAGGATACCCAGAGATGCATAGATCCTTAGATACCCGCTTTTCCCCCCATAGGTTTACTTATGAGTATTGTGTTTCTGGTCTTTTTAACTCAAAATTAAGGTTTGAGCTTTAATAGGACTAAATTATTCACCATGCCTTGAGCTGTGCCTTTGTTTTTAATATTCTCTATTCATGTACCCATTATTTTGCTTTTCTTGCTTAACTATAACTGAGAACACATTTAAGGGGACACACTCCTGGTCAGCTGTATCAACCTGAAAGAATAAGACCTTCTCTCCTCGTCAGACTTCTGTACCTGATTTTACTTCACTGATGTGTACCCTGATGATAATCAACTATTAATGGACACCTCAGATTCAGTCTCCTTTGCAAGAATTTCTAAGAACTGTGACACTGGTCATGAAACGATTGTGTTGGGTTCAGGTACATAAGCATGATTTAGAGTCTGAAAATCACTTCTTTGTTTATATGGTTGAAATGTGTTTGCTTTTTATATTTCACCAATTTGATTTAAGGTTTAAAGACAATATTCAGTTAGTCATTTTAGTGGTCCCTTCTATTGAAAGCTCTAGTCTGATTTTAAAATCACTGTAAAATGTAAATCAGCTTGAGTAAGCTCTGAGGCATTGTTTTACCACACTTGTCAGCACACGGCTGTTATACTTTTACATGTGCTTAAGTTTTTATCCACATAATTTTTCTGACTCCTTAAACATTTATTAAGCTTAAACTAATGGTACCCAAGTCAGTACACAGGTTTCTGTTTCCCGTCATTTCTTATGCTGGATATCTTGGTTGTCTAAAGCATTGGATACGTCATATATGACGATGACAGTAGCACAAGAAGGAAAAACGGTTCAGTGGTGGTGTGGTTCCCGGTGAAGAAGATGCAAGAAAGCAAGCGTCACTGCCTTTCCTCTTCTCGACCTAACAGTGGAGAGCAGTTCCTTCCGAGCTGTACAGGGTCTGCCTGCTGTTAACAGTGAGTGCGAGAACACTGTCGCTGAAGGTGCGGGTGCGAGAACACTGTCGCTGAAGGTGCGGGCCTGAGCGTGGCTCCGGGCACGCACAGAACAACGCCGCCCAGGCAGCAGTGAACAGCCGCACCCGGGGTTTGTCACGTAGGGAAATCCCTTAGTGTTTCATTTCTCCACTAATAATTTTGAAGTACTGTATATTTGCAGAAGTTTGGGTGGATAGTTTTTATTCCTGATGTAAGTTAACTTTTAAAAGTGTATCTCTAATACTCTAGCCCACCTAAAATATCATTAGATCATGGGCCCTGCAACCTTTGTTGTGTTGTGTTTTGTTTTCAGTCAGTTCAACGCCCAGTCCTGTTCTGTATCTCAAGTAGCTTTTGTAAACGGCGTGCGGGAATCTGATTTTCCATATGGTCTGCTGTGTGGCGTGTATGCTGTGTTCGTTCCGCGTGCGATTACAATACACTAGATTTCTCCATAGCAGGCATTGCTGCACAATGCCCCTACCTGTTCCAAATTATGTGCTTGCCCAAAACACTGTGAAACAGTTACCAAAATTGTACAAATGCAGCATTTTGATTATTTCTGACAAGACAAGGTGACTTTCTTTCCATGAACTCATGAACAAGAGAGGTCCTATATCCACACCAAGCATCTCGGAGTTGCTGCCCAAGCGCTCCTTACTGACCAACCGTGGCTGCAGATCATCCAGGCCGTGGGCTATCAGAAACATCTGCCCTGACGAACTGGTTTGCAGAGTCCGTGGATCTGTGTCCAGAGTTGTAACGGGCTCTCTTTTGGAAGGACAAAGAAGTTCAAGTTCACAGTATCCAACTTTATTATAGTTGATGAGTTAGCAAATTTTAAAAGATGATTTTATATAGACATATACAAATCTTTGTAAAATGCGCAAGTGCAATAATTTAAAGAGGTCTTAACTTTGCATTTATAAATTATAAATATTGTACATGTGTGTAATTTTTTCATGTATTCATTTGCAGTCTTTGTATTTAAAAGAAACCTTTGCTGTTATGTTTGTATAATAGAACAGTAACCATTTATTATAACTTAGGCAAGTTGTAAATAAATTCATACTTCAAACAGCCAGTATATATGCATATATGGGTGTTATATTACAAAATTTCTATTTACTTAACATGCTTAGAGCAGTGAGAAGCCCTTTGTTGATATGTAATTATACATATAAAATATATATATGTATGATACATGAAATATATTTAGAAATGTTCATAATTTTAATGGCTATCCTTTGGTGTGAATAATTGAATACAGTTTTTAAAATACCACCTTTCACGTTTATCATTTGCTCTCATTCGTGCGGAAGATAAGAAACATTTTGTAAAAGTTCATTGAAAACCCTCCTGGCCTTATTTGCCCAGAGGACACCAGGTTAACCGTGAGTTCATGTGCTTGGACAAGACAGCACCAGTGTCAGGTTCTGACCTCACTATATAAAGTTAAAGGTCAAAGACTCTCTGGGGAAGCAGTGATTTTTAGAATGATTGCTTCCAATTACAAAGGCAGCATCACCAAGTTCTGGACCCAGGTGGCCCCAGCGGCTCCCTAGCCTGCCCAGCTGCTGCAGCCACAACCCGAGTGCGCGTGGGCAGGAGACTGCTGTGTGCACGTCTGTTGTGCGCGTGTCGGGGCTCTTCCTGCTGTGGTGGACGGTGCACCTAACCCGTGCACAGGGATAGCTGGACTCACGGCTCATCTTTAGAAGTCTGCTCGCAGACTTTCATCTTGACTATCTCTGCTCGCCATCAAGAGGACATGCAAATGGTGATGCATACTTAAGGCTAAAAGGATTCCATGTGTCTCCAGATCCCTCCTTACACATACTAGAGCTAAACTTGGGGGTTAAAACCCCAGGTGTTTACTGGAATAAAGACCTGTTACACTGATAAGTAAATTGCCCACAGCCTTGTGAGTTAGAAGGGCGATGTAGAGTCTCAAAATCAAATTCCAGATGTTCACTAATGGAGTGGTCCCTAGATGTGTGACACTGGACCTGTGAGAGACAGGGGTTTTGCTAAAGGCTCATTTCCTGGCCGGCGCCGCAGCTCTCTAGGCTAATCCTCTGCCTTGTGGCGCCGGCACACCAAGTTCTAGTCCCGGTCGGGGCTCCAGATTCTGTCCCGGTTGCCCCTCTTCCAGGCCGGCTCTCTGCTGTGGCCAGGGAGTGCAGTGGAGGATGGCCCGAGTACTTGGGCCCTGCACCCCATGGGAGACCAGGAGAAGCACCTGGCTCCTGCCATTGGATCAGCGCGATGCACCGGCTGCAGCGCGGCGGCCATTGGAGGGTGAACCAACGGCAAAAGGAAGACCTTTCTCTCTCTCTCTCTCTCTCTCTCTCTCTCACTGTCCACTCTGCCTGTCAAAAAAAAAAAAAAGGCTCATTTCCTGGGCAATGGAAATGCTTACTGTGTTAAAAATGAATTCCATGAGCTCATCTATACATCAAATTATTTGGTAATTAGAACTGTAGATTGGCACCCTATAAAGCTGATTTTGAGTCAAACCATCTTCATAATGTATACATTTTATTTTTCCCCCAACTTTACTATGTCTCAAGCGTTTTCAGAATAGCAGTATTTTTCATCAGATCTGTTTCCTGACCCAAAAGCAGCACTTGTCCAACACATGGACAGCTTACTGTGGGGAAGGAAGGGGTGCAGGGGAGGAGCTGGGGAGTGGAAGGCAGGAGGAGAGTTTCTGCTGCTTGGGGTTTGACTTCTCATGCAGCCTCCAGGCATGTTGCTAGTGCTTCCTACGCGCTTGTGCCTGTCTGGCCATAGCTACTGGAAGACCAGAAGGCCAGACATTTAATAAGACAGCTATATATTTTTTCAAATAATACACAGTAGATACTGGTCTCTTAAGAATGATCTAAGCTTGGTGAGACAGAAACCAAACAGAAGCACGTTCCTCACGCCCTGCTCTCCTCTTCCCACACTCTTGACGCACCCACCATCAAAAACAGAAGAGATGCCTCCCACAAGAGACTGAGACTTTTTTTGATTGGTGTAAGAAGCACGGGAAAGTGACTAAAAAATATTAAGCATTGGTTTGAAATAGCAGCTTCCAAATTTTTAACTGGTAATTGTACACATTCACGTGAGATTTAAAGTTGATGTTTGTGTCACTAAATAAATAGAACCCTCAAGATGGTGTCCTTGGGACATGAGAGTCATTAACATGAAGACCCAAACATTTTAACCTGCAGGTCTTTATGTACTTTAAGAAAGTACAATTTACCTGCTTAAACCTGCATTGACTAAAAAAGCTGTGAATGAGAAAACCCCATTTCTTTTGTGTTCTGGGTTTTGACTATGACAGGTCACAAGTGTTAGGGGTGGGACCTGACTGTCTTTAGTACAGACTCCCTCCAGACAATGCAAGATGCCTTCTTTGCCATTTCCGGTAGGTGGTCTCCCAGCCACGCACCCTCACGATGCAAGCCAGACCACTCTCAGAAGCTCAAATGTTGCTTCCTCTGAGAACCTTTTCTCCCAGTTGGTGATACGCTTCGTCCTGAATGTGGTCCTCTCCTCTCCTGTGTTAGGGGAAAGGGCTGTGATGGGCAGCATGCCCAGAGTGAGATGAGGGACGGAACACACTTGAGCATTACCACCTGCCCGGCACTCTAGCCTGCTTGTACCTGTGAATTATTCATAATACCGCCCATTGTCTTAGGCTACTCCTTTTACTCCAACAGAACTCCTGAGACTAGATAATTTAGTTAAAATGTAGAGATTCGTTTTGGCTCATGGTGCTTGAAATCCAAGAGCCTGGTGCTGGTATCTGCTGGGTTTCTGGTAAGGGACGCGTGGCAGGAAGACCGTGTGTGTGTGTGTGTGTGTGTAAGGGAAGTACGAATTTTATATATTTATAGTGAGAGATAGCTCCCATGGGAAAGAGCATTAATCCCTGAGATGACTTCATCACCTCTTAAAGACCCCCGAATCTCTCAGTGGTGCCACCCTGGAGACCAAGCCTCAGTACAAGGCTCGTGGGCTCAAGCATAAAATCTCTTGTAAAGATGAAGAACTTGAAACTCAGAGGCTGAGCCGCCAGGAAGTGAGACAGCAGGGGTAGGCACCCAGGCCTGCCAGGTTCCGAGAGTGCGTGTCTGTTTGCGACTGCGTGTTGGAGTGCTTCACGGTACCACTTGCCCCACCACGGTTTCCAAGCGTCCCATCTTGACTAATGCACTCACAGAGGGATGTGTCAAGATCCTGATCCCAAGGCACCTGCTTCTCTCTGATGATCCTCCTTCACGGTCTTTGCCTTGGTGCAGATTCGGGAACTAAAGGAATAGCAATCCATTTTTCACACTGAAAACAAGGTTTTGAAGTTGACAGTAGATGAGATCTTGAGAAAACAAGCTTTTGTGGGTATTCATGGTTAACGATGTGGTTTACATCGGAGCTTTTTCCTTACAAAGGAGGTGGGGAGATGGAGGCTTGGATGCTGCGATGGTCATCTCCCCACGATTCCACTCTGAACAGCTGTGCCTGCACCAGCTCAGCTTCACGAGAGCACCAGACACCATGTGGAGCCTGCAGACCCTAATTAGTATAAGAACGAGGTGCTGATGAAAACAAGGATCGTCCCCGGGTCACCCCTCCTCCACTTCCAGGCAC